ACACACACACACACACACACACACACACACACACACACACACACACAGTCATAAAACAAGGTTTGAAATGGTTGAATGCATTATATCTACTGCCTTTGTCTAGGGAGAGGAGAAGCAGCACAGTGGGGATGAAGAGGTAAAGAGGAGAGGGAAGCAAGAGGGACGAGAAAGGAGGAAAAGAAGGGAACAAAGGTGCGGGAAGAGGACGGAGAGAGAAAGATTAAATAAAGGAGAGGAAAAAGCAAGATGGGAGGAAAAGGGGACAGAGGGAGGAGGGGAGGAAGAAAAGGGAAACGGGAAGGGGGAAAGACGGGGAGAAAAAGACAGTAAAAAGAAGAGAAGAGGAGGGAAGGGAAGATATAAGCGGGAGCAGAGAAGAAACGTTTTTTTATGGAAAGAATGAAGGCAGGGAGGAGATGAGAGAAGGAAAAAGGAGGTGAGTAAGGGGGCGAAGAGCAGGCCCAGGAATGTGAGCCGGTGTGGTTTTAGTCACATGACCAGCTCTCTGACACAGGGAGCTTGTAGAGGAAACGTCTATCTATTAACACTCGCTCCCTCAATCCTTCCTGTCCTGCACTCTTCAGCCGCTACTCTGTGTCTCTCACACATACTGGGAGGACTTCCTGCCTCTGACCTCTGACTCACACGTTATTATCGCTATATCTAAACAACATTTCAAAAATAATGCTATCAGTCAAATTCATCTTTGAATTTGTTTATTGTGCGTTTTTGTCTCTTTTTGGCAAATGAATTACACTTAAAATACAAGTGAAGAGAGCTGGAGACAGACTTTATCACCATAACTGTATATTAGGGATGTTAGGAGAACCGATACTTGGGAACCAGGTACCAACCAAAACTCTGACAACGTGACAATACTTGTTTTTTATCAAACACGAACCGATGTTGAATTCAGTTTCATTATGATGGGTTCAGGCTCTATTCAGTAAAAATGAGTATTGTACGAAAGTGAATTATTGTTATTGTGATGTGTTCAAATGTAATCTTGCAAAATGTAGTTTTTGGTGAGAAACTCTAATAAATCCAGCTGAATTATGACGTGTTTATCTTCCTGACACTAGGTTTACTGTGTTTTAGGTGGTATCGGATTTTATATTGAGAATCGTGGAACTTCACTGGCATTGGTATCGACGAGTACATTTCTGGTATCACGACATCCCTATCATTTTTGCATGAAAAATGACTTCATCGATTATCAAAAAAACGCTCTTTCTTCCCGACTGAGCAGAAGTGTGACGCTCAGACAGCTCGTTGCAGCCTGCAGCCGTACGTATACCAGTGGTGGGCCGTCAGGGCCCGCAAGGCCTTCTCTGCTGGCCTAAACAGAATCACAAAGCTATATCTATTTTATAATTTAATAATTTTTCTTAAATACATTACATGTATTATAATTTATAAAAATATTTTTCCCATTATCTTATTTTCTCATTGCACAGCTACTGTGTTCCTCAGTTGCTCTGCTTCCAGTGCAGCTTGTTTTAAGTAGAGCTTTTATCCAATCAGATTTCACCTCTGTGTCTCTAGGTAAGAACAGAGGCCCGAGGCCTGCAGAGTCTCACCTGCAGCCAGTGCAGATTAAAGTAAATGGGGACGATATTGTTGATTGTCATAGTATTCAACCAATCAGATCTTTAGTTTGACATGTTGGGCTTATTCTTTGACTATCAGAGCCTGCGCGCCGGCCTATAATGACGTCAGCATTACATGCCGCTCAGTGTCCGTGTGTAGCTTTCCCGCGAGGTGCAGAGTGTGCTGTGATTGGTCAGTGGGCGAGCACGTGACTATCGTGAAACGAAACTTAACAGCCAGCAGAGGCTGATGGGTAGTGAATCACATCACGTGATGCAGCTCAGCCAATCAAAATGCATTCTGACTGAGTGAGATGCACCATGAGAGAGGGTGCTGAGACGAGGAAAGACATTGCAGAGCAGTACGTTCAACATTTAATTTCTGAAAGTAAAATCCTATGATAATCTCTTTGGGTCTCGGCTTGTCATTAAGGAGTGATGATGGATCCCACAGCCAGACCAGCTGAGATCATTATATTTTCCTGAATTTAGGCTTTTGCATTTTCTAAATGCTTTAGCATTATTCAAACGACTCGTACCGACCTGTTTAATATGAAGACGTGCATAGTTACAGCATTAAAAATGAATAATAGCTGTGGCGCCATAATGTGGTTATAAGGTGGTATTTCAGCTGCAGGACAGCAGTGAAGGCCCAGGTATAAAATGCACGGCCCGCCACTGACGTATACGCGCGTGTGTGTGATTACTTGTTACGGTGAGAGCCGTCTCCCACACAGCACACATCTTTGATGAAGTGCCTGGTGTTGCGGTGCGTTCATTCTTCACCTTTCAGATTGCCCACTTCAAAATAAAAAGCGCCGGCAGCTTCATCTGTTATTACAGCTACACATCTTCCTCCCGCTCTTTCTCCTCGCCTTCCCATCCTTCATGTCTACTCATCGTTCATTGTCATCTTGTTTTCCTGTGCTCTTCCTCTTCACCTCCTTTCTCCTACAGCTAATTTCTCCTCCTCTTCCTCCTCCTGTGACTCCATTCTTGTTGCTGTGGTTGTGTGGTTGTATGTGAGTGACCTTTCTCTTTTGGCTCGTCAGCATCAAGACTACGTACATTTTCTGTTAATGTGTGTGTGTGTGTATGTGAATGTGTATGTGAATGTGTATGTGACTGCGCAAGTTCCTGCCTATTAGGCACAAAACATTGTGAACAGTATGTGTACAACTACGCAGGAATAAACTGACCTGTGTGTGTAACTGTATACACAACACACACACACACACACACACACAGCGGTCCCACCTGTGTGTTGTACTGCTGGCGGGCGGGCGGCACGTCGTAAATGTCGTGCTGGGTCGGAGGCTGGTGTCTGGGCGGGACGTCGTACTCATCCTGATCCGGTTTGACTGTGTCGTACACATACACCTGACCGACCCGAGTGGGGACCACCACCTGGACACAGAGAGCGAGAGGCAGGTGAGCGTCAACAACACAAAGACGTACTGTACAGTCACACTACAAACATCAGTCTGAAGGTCGGAGGATGGATATCAACAAAACAGAAAGACTTCTTCACCTCTGAATGAGAATGTAGTGCTTCATCACACTTAAATGAGCAAAGACTGAAGGTTGTTCAGTCTCACGGCCAATAAAAACAGAGCAGGGGGCCTATCGTGGGAACCGGGCTGCCCTATTGTGTGCCTGTTTAAACTGTGTATTATATGGTTCGAGTGTAGAGTCAACCAGCCAGCCTGGGAAACCAAAGCAGCTGTGGTTTACAACAACACACACACACACACACACACGCTCGCTCGAGCACACGCACACACACACACACACACACACACACACACTAAAAGTAGCTGTCACAACTAGTATCCCATCATCATCATCCTCTCTTCTCGTCATTTCCACGTCCTGGTTCAACTATAACCAGCACCAACTGTGTAACCACACTCTACACTGTATCTTATTAGTTAGCATGCTAATCGCAGGCGTTGCATACAACATGACTCAGTCCATCACTCGTCCCTGCATTATAAACACAACTCAACAGTGAATGTGGAAGTGAAATACATTTTACACAGAGAATTCTAGAAGTAAATACTGTGTACTCGTAGCAAACAGGAGTAACTGCAGACACAATTCAATACAACATGCTAATGCTAACTGCTGCTACACTACAGCTGAATAGGGTCAAATATTTAACCAATATGTATATCACCATGAAATGTCAATCGTTCATTACTTACATTAAGAAATCTTTTAATTATGCAAATGAGGTATTCTTTTATATAGATAGAATATAGATAAGAAAGAAAGTGTAACGTTTGGTGTACATAAGCGCTAAAACGTCCTTTAAAGAGACGCTTAGTTACATTACAGACATTTAGAAGAATAGATATCACCATAAAACTTCACCAATTAATTTCTGACATTAAGACAAATAGTTTTTTATCACAAGTTTTCTGAAAGGTTTTGTTTAAATATGCAAATGAAGCATTTTCTAATGGTAACTTTTGGTGAAATTAGGGGAAATCTACAGACACAAATAGACAAAGCAGTAAAACAAACCCCGAAATGTGCATTTAGCTCTTCATGCTCGTCTTTATGGTCACTGTTGGCTAAATATGTCCATATCTGAACCGGGCACAGAGAGATGAAACTGACTAATCTTCTTATCTGACTCTGGATGAACAAGATTATTTTCCTACAAATTGGATGCATGTCTCGTCAGAAAAACTAAGCAAAAACTTGCAGCGTGGTATAAATTCGGAGGCATGTGGCACTGGTTCATACTATATACTATAGTCCCCCCAAAAAGTCAATTTCATCATAAGACGCTACATAAATTCTAATATATTACCAAATGTACATCCATTATCATCTAAATGTTTCATTCCACATGCTCATTGTCGGTATCAGACCGAACATCCCGCATCACTCGGTCTGTGTTTGTGAGTGTAATCAGTGTTTAATCACTCTCAGCTCCAGCCTTGATTAACGGAAGCTCTCTGATAATATTTGCTCAGCTCCACAGCTGTTGGAGGTACGCTGTGTGAGAGACAGACGGAGACAGACGATAAAAGCATCCATTTGACAAACCTGTCTGCACTAATCTGTCCTCTGCCTCCTCTCTCTCCCACCACCTCATAACACATCCTCTCCAGTCTCTCTTACACAGGGAGCGGAAATTAGAACAGTTTTTTTTGTTGTATTAAAAATGAATTAAGAAACTTCATTTAGCTTTTTCTCCCATTCTGTCGGTGGGTCACACGTATACACGCTCATGTAAACACACCTTCCCTCATCGTCAAAAAGCTTTCAACAGTATTGATGACACTTCTGGCTAAATGCCAGATGTGACCTGCATGCACACACACACACACACGTCATCCCCAGCCCTGTGTCAGATTGATAACCTGTGTTATTGATCACCTGTCTGTGTGCACCCTAGGGAGTGAACACACACTTCCACACTGACACTAAGCGATCTGTGTGTGTGTGTGTGTGTGTTAAGTCTAGTAACGGAGCGATGGATCAATGGTCACCATCTTTGTATGTGCGCGTGCCGCTACGGTGACGGTCACCACCGTTAACTAATGACATCATTTAATAGCAGCGTCAGTGCGTCCCGTCTGCACCATGACGGGTTTCTCCGCTTTAACGAGATTCAATATCTCATCTCCATCATCAGTGAACGGACAAATGAAAAACACGGACAAAACAAAGGTAATTTCTGTTTCATCGATGAGTTCAGGCGTAGCAAACTTCAACACGTGGAGTAGTGCATTTGACCAATAGCAAAGCAGGACGAGTAGGTCTGTTCATACCATCTACAACTGATTTAGACAACATTCATGACAGAAGGCCATGAACTCTCCCAGGACTCTCTTCCCTCATCAACGTGAACACGACTCCATGCTGATCCTTGCCATCCTTTCAGTTTCCTTAACCTCCTCTTTGTGTCATTCCTTGTGAATGCATATGCACTTGTAGCATTGGAATAGACTGTCTTGATGCTGATGCTTAAGCTCCGACAGCCTCGATACACAGAGCAGCCCCCCCAGTGCTCTGCAGGAAGAGATGACAGCACAGCCAGCACACAGCTGCATCAAGTCCCCCGTACATCCCGTGTGTCATCGCAGAGCTCTGGCCCCCGAGGACGGCTGTATACTTTCAGATTTACTGACCTACATACCCAGCGAAGAAAATTCTCTATGTCGTGTTCTCAGAATACAGAATACATCAGTGGCCTCATAAAAAGCTGCAGCTCGTCTGACCTACCAACAATAAAAATGGGAGAATTCCTCCGCCATCTGTGGCCGGAGCTGGGACGCTCACGCTTTTGTTCTGCTAGTGCGATCGCGTCAAGCAGAAGTCATTGTTCAACAGATGACCTTTGCTCCGAGCGATGTCCCTCACCTCCTTCCCAGCAGCAGACCTCTCTTCCTCTCCTTCTCTTTCTCTTGCTTCATGCCCAAGAGAGAAAAAAAAAAAGGACAGATGACGATAAAGCAGGGCGTGGGCGTCCTTCCACAAACAAAACGCAGAATGAAATATCCTCCGCGCTATCTGCTGGTAAACGCAGCACATTCTCAAAGTGAAGCTCCATCTTCCGGCTTCAACATGACCGCCGTAACCACTCGGAGAAAAGAAAAAGGACGTTCTATACATGCAGCTGCAGCGGAGAAAATAAGTCTTTACAGCGCAGATGTGAAGTTGAAAGAGAAAATGTGGTAAAAATAGAGAGAGGCCTAATTACAGTAGGAGGGTTGGGTGGTTTGTCTCAACCGGTGGACATGGCTGCTTCAGATCCTAATCTACACTCTGCTCTCACTCTGGCAAAAACACGCATTTGAGATTTTGGGGTTATTTTACATCCATAGCACGTTCTCTTTCAGACGAGTGGAACGGAAACATCTAAAATACACATTTACTTTGTTTTCCTACTGTGTCTACATGCGTCTGTACATTTCTGCTAAACTTACCAGAAGTTACCACTAGATAATGCCTAATTTGCATATTTCAAACATACCATTTCAGAAAACTCATAATACAAACAACAAATACACACATAGATCAAATCTATGCATACAAATATATACATTACAGCCGCCTGTATGTACAAATATCCACAGTAGGCAGTAGAAGATAATGTTTGCGTACATTGAGCATATACTGCCATATGCAGGTAGGAAGTGGTTCTATGCACATATAGACACTGTATCATGCACTTAATACAATCGTAATGCAAGTTTAAATTGCAATTATTAAGATTTATATCTGATGATCTTGCTAAAGCTGAACAAATACCCCCTTTTATCCGTTTTCACATTCCGGTTTCCAACGGTTATGAAAACAAGATAATCAAAGTAAAGCGGTTATTGTCCCGCGTTCCGTTCTCATAACTTCAAATCAAGCTACCAACATGGCAACATACTGCTGCAGGAAGGTGAGACAACACTTTACAGGTGAGTTGTTGCTCTGGTAAACGCTTGTATAGCGCTTTTCTAGTCTCTCGACCACTCAAAGTGCTTTTTACACTACATGTCACTCACCCATTGACACCCATTCATACACTGATGTCGGGGATCGAACCGCCGATCTCCTGATTGAAGGACGAAGCGCTCCACACTGAGCCACCCCTACTGTGGTTACTGCATCATTCCTTCTCACTGTAACTCCTGTTTAAGTGTAACAATGTTGGTCCTGATCACAAACCACCAAGACAAAGGAGTCAAATAAAACAAATAAAAAGTGAAGCGAGAATGAGAGCGGGTTGGAGCCACAGACTGAGAATACCATGACAGCTATGTGGAGCATGTGGCATCAAACACACACACAAGGCACCAAGAGTCAGTGCATGGGTCTTAACAGATTAGTACAGCGCAGGGGGGGCATGTCTCCAAGAGAGAACCAACACACTCTATACACCCCCCACCCCCCCGAACTAGATTCCAACACCACATGGCGTGACCGGTGTGTGTTCTGTGCATGCTCAGACTGGCTGTCTGGCAAATCAGGCAAACTCACTCACTGACTCACCTCCAGGTTTTAGGTCTATGGTGATGAAAAAAAAAAAACGTATCATTTTTTTTATACCTCATCACCTCATTCATTATTCCTTGTGTAAGGGAGCGTTGAGTTGACAGTATACTGCATTTGTGTGACTGTGTAGCTCGTCACCTCGTTGGGAACATCTGTGTGTTGGTCATTTCCAGCAGTTTGTTCTTCTGCAGTACTGCAGGTTCCATGTCGGTACCGGGGCAGGGTTGGGACTAATGGCCCCCGTCGTCACGGCAAACCATAGAAGATGAGTTTGGGGACGAACAAGAAACTAGAATAAATCCAGTTGTTTGAAGGAGATTTTTTTCGACCTGTTTAACTTCCCAACACCAGCTCTAAGCAACTCATAATACATCATTAAAACTACTTAATACCAAGTCTTTTTCTTTTTTATCAAAGCACATAATAAATGAGCAAAAAGCAGTATGCAAATCGTGCCATCAGACTTCACACTGATGCAGACACTCGTTCAGCAAAGCCACCTCAAAGACAAATATCCAGATTTATTCAAAGGATTCAAGGTGAGTGAGTTTCAGGTCAAGTTAATGTTACATTAACAACATATCCAAATTTTGTATATTTTAGTTTCTTGAGAGCATCGAATTGGGTAATTTCACTGGCATTGGTATCCACTACTACATTTGGTGAGTATCGTGAACCTCCTAAAAAGGAGGCAGTTAAAATGCCACATTCACCTCCCTGCACCAGACTGCATTTCTATTCATTTCCTTCTTAAGAATCATTAAATCCTGTTTGGTGGCATAGGTTTAACAGAATAGAGTAAAAAAATGTATATTTATTGAGGCGTTCCAACTCTAATTGACGGACACGTTCTTTTAGGCAGTACAGTATGGGACTAACCAAAGCTATTCAGAAACATTACATGCAAATGAAGCCTTTAAACAGCACGTGTGACACCAGGTTTTGAAAGTGGACTATATACTTTCCTTAATCTTAACAGAAGGTTTCACATAGACACATCGTGGTGTAGGTGTCGCTTCTAATTCGCACAGAAATAACAAACAAATGGACAAAGCAATGAGACGGGATGAGCCAAACAAAAATGACTTCAGTTGTGTGTGTCTACAGATATGTGTGTGTGTGTGTGTCTACAGATATGTGTGGGAGTGTGCCAGACAGCCGCGTTGACTTCATTAGTCTCCAGTTAATCTCTCAGCATGTGGTGCAGAACGCAGCCTCACAAACTGAAAGCACACACACGCACATTATTTATCTAACAAATTCCACTTTGACTTGCATTAAAATATTCATCGCCTTGTTTAGATTATTCATATTTCTGTCTCAGTAGGCTTCATGAAATGTGTTCCATAATGCGGCGCACTGAAAATGTAATTTTCTTTTCATATGTGGAATAAACAGCAGCTGCTTTGGGAGAGATCTGTCAATGTCCTACACTTTAATAAATAGCTTCAGTTTGTGTGTTAGAGGTTAGAATTATTTTAGTGTATATTAATTATATCATTTACTTTATCATTTTATACTCAGAGTTTAAGATAACTTACCTATTTAAATTTTAAATAAATAGAACCTTCTAAGATCACTGAAATAAATGTGTTACCTTAACCATCTTATTAATGTTATTGTCTTATTAATAACAGACAAAACAATGTGAAAGTGCCAATTTGAAGTTTCAGTAATCTCACTGATGCTCTTCAGCTGTTCTTGTGTGGCTTGTGTTAAGCTGGGAGACACGTGGCTGCTGACACACCCCCACTAGCACATCAATGCCTTCAATGACAGCTGACACTACTGCTTGACCTCCTAACACACACACACTCACACTGATACATTGGTGCTTGTGGACACATTTCGGATGAGAAACCAATATTTCAGGTTTCCAGCCCTACTTCTCTTTGGCCTCCTTTACAACTTCAAAGTTCAAAATTCACTTTATTTTATTTATTTATTAGGTTTTTCTGAACTTTTGCCATTGACCAAGAATAATTGGATGGCTGTAGGAAGGTCGAGGAGGCCACATGTATCAGAGATGTACTTAATACCCTGAAGACCATGAGGTGGAGTTAAAAAAAATAATAGGTGGACTCAAACTACGTCTCCCAATGTCAACAGTATATTTTGTCAATTCAGGCACACAAATGATTAAAGGTGGGGTCGACAACATTGGAAAAACTATCCAAACTAAAAACCCAGCCCAGTGTCGCTAACTCTTTTCCAATTAAAGCAGCTAGCAGCGCTAGCTCCAAAAGTCGCTATATTTAGCGAGGAAGTTGCAGAGAGGGCGACACGGACAGCCCACCCCTTCGGGGCCTCCCTCCAAAGCCACTCCCCGCGAAATGATCATGATGAACGTAAACACCGAACGTGGCTGTTGTTAGCACCTCGCAGCTGTTAAGCTAGCAGCTTGTGGTACGAGTGCACGGGCACAGTAGGATCCGGTAGACTGTAAGAAGGTAGCTCAGGCCTGAAACGATTGGACGGGCTGCTGCAGGATCACAGTCCTGCTACAGCCACAGATATCAGAGTTCTCTTTTTCTTTTTGACAGAGCATTCGATTGATTGATTGACGTCGGGATGTAATGAGAACTTAAACAAATATAATAATTGACCGAGCCTAGCTTTAACTGTAGCGTGCGAAGTTGCTAATCCATGAATCAAAAACAAACCCACTTGCCGGAGCTCCCCCCCGCCTCTCTGCTCGGTTCTCTCTCTGTCGTTGTGTCTCTCGCTTTCATCACTCTTCAATTACTGCGTCATCTGGGCGGATGAGTGCGCAAGTGGGCGAAAGAGAGAGAGAGTGAGAGCGGAGCCGTCCCTCAGCAGGTGGCCCTTATCGCTTAATGACTAACCGGTGGGAGTGGAGTGTGTGCTGTTTTAGTTGTGTGTGTTTGTACGAAGAGGGAGGCGGGGGTAAGTGAGCATAAGAGCAGCTTATTACAATGAAGGGCATCGGCAAGGTAAATACATAAAGCATGTGACGCACACACACAGTTTGCTCTGGCAGTGACAATAGAAGGTGCACTAAACTCCCTCCATTCCTTACTACGTGTCCTCGACCTTGATGGAAAACTTCAAGTCAAAGACTTTGAAATGTATCCACATATACATGAATGGAGGACTTCTTTAGGCCTATTCCAAAATGGATATTTGAGGGAAAAGTCTTTTGACTTCTCAACCCTGTGGCCCCTCAGACATCTTTAGAAACACCTCACACTTCACCTGAGCACCGCAGTTCCAAAATAAATGTGTGAAGCCTTCTGTGTGTATTCATTAATATGGAGACTAATCTGACCGCATACTTAACAGTGTGCTAACGATTTAGTAGTCAATGGGAAATTTGGGCTGAAGCTATCGGGCGGTACAAAGAGTCCATCTCTACAGACGCCCACTTGCGTGGGCATCTCTACAGATGGACGCAAAGCTTTTTTCCAAATTCTAGCCGGGCCCGACATCACACACACACACACACACACACACATAACACTCCGGCTCACAGCGGTGCTTACGCATTATGGCTCACTGCACCACAGCAAGCCTGGAGGGGCTTCCCCCTGAGTACACACACATACACACACACAGCTTGTCACCTGCTGGCGCAGTAAAGTGCTTACTCACCCAACCACAAGATCAGAGCTGAATTATTAACAATCTTATTATTTCACTGGTCCTCCTCCTCCTCTGCGCACACACACACACACACACCCTACTCTTTATTCCGTCAGCTTTTTTCCCTCCGTTTGTCATCCGCACTGTCTTTCTCTCCCTCTTCTGCCTGCCAACTCTCTGAGTATTCCTCTCTGTCTTTTCCTTCCCATCAGGTGGAACTGTTCAGCAGGTTGTTTCGGGCCCGGTAGGGCGTTGTGTGATGCGGAGCGTGAAGACTTAAATCTATTAAGGTAAACGCCGCCACGGGATCCTAGCATTTCATTTTGTAGTTTTTGGGATTTATTCAAATGCCCGTTTATTTTTCTTTCTCACCAACACTGAGGATGATGTAATAATCTCACCAGATGTCCTTATATCATCCAGTTTCAGTCAAGCCAACTGCAAGTGAATATCCTTCAAGATGGGCAACAGCACGTGGGCAAATAGGAATTAAACAAGAGCACGGAAGGTCTTGGAACTCTTTCTGATTTTAGACATTAAAGTCGGTAACTTTAATAAAATAACTTTTTGATTTATTTGCTCAATCTGTCACTATATCCTGACAGAAGTACGTGAGACAAAGAATCTGAAAAAATGCAGGTTCCTCGTCCTTCTTTTAGTGCTGCTAACGGTACTTACAAGACTCCACCACGCCCAGAAGAAAAGAAACCCAATTGGGGTTGAGGAGTCTCAAACTGTCAAACTAGGCGGCGCTGATCCAATATGATTCAAGATTATGTTTACTGCATTGCCTATTTCTCACCTCAAATGTTTTCAGAAACATTACTGCTGAAAGTTACTGCTTCGCTGTTAAATGAGAAACTCGGCGGTCATATTGAAAACGGACAAAAAACCAAGCCCCGCCCACCGACCGGAGCAAACTTTCTCATTTTACAGCTGAAAAGTACACTGAAGTATGTTTTTGGAAAACTTTCCAGGCGAGAAATAAGCAATGCAGTAACAGAATCTGGATTCATATTTTATCAGCGCCGCCTAGTGTGACAGTTTGCTCGATTGACAGTTTGCTCGATTGACAGCTGCGTTAGAGACTCCTCATCTCTGATTGGTTCGTTTTTCTTTGGGCGCGGTAGAATTCTGTAAATGCCATTAGGAGCACTAAAGACAGGCAGAGGAACCTGAGAGGATCTTTATCTTATAGATTATCTGTCTTGTGTACTTCTGTCAGGATATAGCGACAGCTTGAGCAAATATGACAAAAAGTTATTTTTATCAAAGTTAGCGACTGAAACTTTAAGCAGCGGAATTATCTGGTGATGTAACTGATGAATAAATAAACCGGGAGCTTGACAGGAGACTAAGTACGCTGAGCATCAGAAACCCAATAACCTTATCACACAAAGAACAACCTTGAGTTTTGGATTTGACAAAAAATAGACGCGCATACACCAGAAAACAGTGACAATAGCAGGAAGTGTGTGTGTTTATGTGTGTGTGTGTGCGCATGATACAAAAACATCCACAGCTCAGGCCAGGAACAACTCAACTAAATGATCTATTCTCATCTGTTGCTTCAAGAGTTTTCATTTTTAAACTGACATCAGTAATATATTTTCTCTCCTTCATTCCTTTATGTCTTCAGTTTCTCTAAACTAAGAACATTTATCCATCCCATAATGTTTTCTCTACAGAATCAATGCTGTCCTTCCTTACCTTGCCCAGTGGCTTGTTGCCGCTCTCCCAGTTCCTCTTATCCAGGGAGGGGGGCACCTGGTACACATCCTGCCCACCTCCGTTCCCTCCGGCTGGGACCGCTCCCAGGCCTGGTGCTGGGCCAACAGAAGGGGGCACCTGGTAGATGTCCTGCAGCTGGTACTGTCTCTGGGCTAGAAGCGGGGCCTTGCTGGGGGGTCCTGGAGGGAGTCCGCTTGGGCCGGAAGGGATCTGGTACAGACTTTGTGGACTTGGTTTGGGGCCGTGGGACGGGGGCATCATGTAGATGGAGTCAGGGTCGGGCTGCGCGGGGCTGGGGGTGGAGTAGGCCGGATGCATAGACGTGTAATGTGTCGAGTGGAGGGGCTTGATGGGAAACCCGGCGGAGGAAGTATTGATGGCGGCAGACGCCGAAGCCGGTGCCGGTTTGGCGTAGGCGCTCAGAGGGGGGAGGGGCCGCTGCGCCTGGGAGGAGGGACAGGGAGCGAGCGGCTCCGGCGTGGAAGGCCCGACCTGTTGCTGCTGCTTGCTGTCGTACATGCCGACCAGGAGCTTGAGGCGGTTGCCGGGTACGATGCCTTGGCGACCGTGGAGGGAGCAGAGCCACCAGCCGTCCAAGCCCTGCGTGTCACGCTCCAACACCGTCATGATGTCGCCTTTACGGAAGGACAGCTCGTCCGGTGACTCCGCCACATTGTCGTACAGCGCCTTGGCCAGCACGTTCTGTAGAGGGACAGGACAGAAATATATAAGAAATATAATATACATACACAATCCTATGTACTGATAAATGTTGCCTTGGTAAAGCAAGGCAACAAGAACACAAGTCTTCCCCAAGACCCATTAGTTTCCAGTCTGTACTGTTAGACCTGACCATTGTATTACATGACAAGTGAATGGGAGCCATACATCTGATGGTTTTGAAACCTGTAATTTGTAAAAAATAAAAAAATAAAAACACCCAGCAAAGTGCAATGGAGGGATGATTGCTCCCCCGAGGCTTCCTCCAGACCACATTAGAATTTTCTGTCTCCTATAATTTGAAAATATGGCGGTGAACCATAGACTGTATATAAGAAGTGGACGTAATCAGCGTGACATCACCAATTGGTTTGTGGACTACGATTTTGAAGCCTCAAGTTTGGCTTCAAGGCCATCTCCACCTTTGTTTTTAGCCGTCGCCATCTTGGCTTTTATTGAAAATTTGTTTTTTTCAACCAAGAAGTGACTTGAGAGGGTGGAGCCAAGTACAACCGAACACATAATTTTATAGTCAACCAAAACTAACTTTCATCGACTGAAAACACACTGGGAAAGAGCTTAAGTTGTAAGACGAAAAGACGGACAAATCCTGTCAATCACAGTAAGCCCCGCCCTAAAGCATCCCCTGCTTTATAGTCTGTTTGACTCTAAATGGACCATAATTTACTAAATGAACATCATGCTGTATTGAAGAAGACTTGAAACTAGAGATTGAGACCATAAACTCATGTTTACAATGTTTACTGAGGTAATAAATCAAGAGAGAAGTAGAGTCATTTTCTCACAGACTTCTATACAACCAGAAGAGTCGCCCCTGGTGGACAGTAGAAGGAATCTTCAATACATATGTTGATAACTATTCTTTAAAAACAGTGTTGTTCATACTATTTGTTTAGGTAAATATTTATGGCAACACACCAAAATCTATATCAAAAAGAGATGATGCAAAAAGTCCACATCACTCACCAAAATAGGTTGTTTGCAATTGCCTTCTAAAATGACTCGTGCGAACATTTTCTGATCCGCCAACCATTAAAAGGCACAACAACAACTCGCTCAGGGTTTGAGAAACATTGTGGTCATGGTTAAAGGAAACCGACGCTGACTGTTGGTAGGAAATAGGATGTAAACTATGTTTGTTTTCATGTCATAGTCACATGCTTTGTTGTCTCAGAGGCAAGATTTAACACTTGTTTTCCAAGCATCTTCCTGGAGCTGCCTCACCGCCATCAACAATTCTGTTTTGAGATATTTAGAATGAGTTTGGACTCGTAAACCCAGCAGATGATAAACGCTCTTGTGCTGAGCCGAAAAAAAATCCCAGCCACAGCTGTGCACATAATTAGGACGGCAGCCAAATTCTGATTCATTTTTTTCCACAAATGACATGCTGTAACATGTGATCGAATGCAGCACAAAGAGAGGGGCAAAGTACATGGACGCTGGACTGCGATCGGATGTAGTTAATAGTTCTGTTCTGATAAATAAGAGTGTGTTTCATATTGAAAAGCCATCAGATGTGTAGTTCTCCAACATTTAGTGAGCAGAGTGGGGTATCGTACATCGTACATAGTAGTAGAAGATAGAGGAAAAAATATCACCACACACACACACACACACACACACACACCTCCCCTCAGCCTTCCTAGAACTCTTTGAAACTAAACCAATATTTGTCGTCCATGTCTGAACTCTCGGCTCGCTCTCCTCCCTCTCTGTCTGAGTTCCACCCCAACTATCACAGACTAGTACAGCCTGTACTGGCCCTATGCCAGCTCCACACACACACATCCACACACACACACACACACTTAAATGAGGCCATTTAATTGGCTTCAAGATTTACAGCCCGTCTTTTCTCTCGCTGCGCTGGAGGCCTGTTGGCCGGGAACGAGACAGAGAAGGACACTCGACCCGAATGTACTCGCTTCATCAAATTCATTCATTGGTTGTGTTCACACGCACGGAGAGAATTCCCTTTTAAAAGGAAACAAATAAATAGGGCCACTTTTCTTTTCTCGGTACCCGCTTTAGCCCAGCGCTTGTCGTCTCATCGGCCTACTTCACTCCAGTCAAAGTGCATTGCCTTTTGTTTCGTCACACGTTTGAGCTTCACCCTGCAGAATGATGCAAGGGCAGAGTTCCACTGATGTCTGACTGAAGGGCAACTGAGGTCCAGAATGTGCAGACGTACTGAGAATGGTCTCTTCAGTGACGTATGAGACTGCATCTGTATCCAGCTGTTTCACTTTCCAAATGAACACATGGAGCATTTTCACAGATTCTGGATAGAAAGTGGACGTCATTCTAAGAATTTCTTATGAGGTAATTTTTTTTAAATGTTTGTGAAACCATAAGAGATTACAAATTATTATTATTAAAAGCAGTAGTATTTTTCATGTCATAAAAGATTTTAAATTAGTAATGCAGGGAACTTGTTTTGCATAAATTAACATATGTTTCAATGAACATATTTTAAGCAATAGCCAAAAACTATTCCAGGCCTGAAAACACTCCGCCCCCCACCCCAATATATAACCTTTCAAGGAATGTCATGACCGTGGGAACCTGTTTCTTGCTAAGACCAAACATTTAAATTCATTTTAAAACATATTCTCTTGGTCTTGGTTTGATATATTTCAAGAAACATTCAATTTGACGTATGCATACACGTAATCTCCTGCTGTTCGCTATTCACCACCATTCCTCGCCTTTGGAACATTAATAACACTCCACGCTGTTCTTTGACATCTTGTTTTTGGGACTTTTTCTTACCATTCGTTGAGGTAACTGTCAGGACTGATCACCATTCAGACCGTCATTCCTTTCCTCTATCAAACAGACCGCTGGGTTACTCTGACATTAGAAGCCGGTGACACACACACTCCTCATGCACTGTACACGCCTTATCTCTGGCTCCGTGTTGCTCTCCCTCTGGGTTTCTACGGTATCAGTGTGAACGTGCACTGTGACGTGCACACGCCCCAGAGTCACTGAAACTCTCGTTCCTCGTGTGCCGAGTGGATAATGAATGCGCTTCTCTGTCTGCTCTTTCTCTCGCTAAGTCATTATAGAGAAATGAACACGGCTACTGACGTCAGACTGGGGGGTCAGTCTCTCTCTCACACACACACACACACACACTGGAGGAAATACAGATATGTTCACATAAAATAGATTTTTATGAGGCGGATATCTAAACACTTGCACGCCGACCACAGAAGTCCCTCAACTTTTTCCATCGTCCAGAGAAACAGGAAGTGCAGCAGTGAGGATGAATTACACACCCTGCTGATTGGACAACGACCCCGGGGTCCGAGAATCACCTCGAGTACGTTCTCCCGCTCTCTCTATTTCTGTCTCGTCCGAGCACCGGCGCGATACACAGACAGCTTCTAACACAATGGATGTCGAATAGGAAATAAGGCATCAAATGAAACTCCATTGGTCAATCACTTTAATGGGACCGGTATCGGAATCTTTGAAACGGATTCATGATCCAAGTATGATTCAGTGGTGGTGGTCTTGAATACGGTTCCAGAGGCTGAATCGCCGTGATTAGAATACGATGTTGGACTCTTCTTCTTGGACTTTTCTTTCTATGTGACAATCAGCACCAACCTTAGTGTAGTTTACAGCAAAAGAGGACAACTTGTGAAGGCTGGAGTGTTCCCCATTAGGCGTCTAGATCTTCAACCGGCATCGATTTATGCTAAGGACTTGCGGAACGCGGAATACCGTGAAATTTGCCAAAATGTGGACGCTATTCATGAAAATCTGGGTTTTCTCTACCATTACAATTGTTGTTTTCACAGCACCTAAGCCGAATAAACGGAAAAGAACCATGCCGCTATGTGTTTTGGTTTTATTTACAAATACAATGTAATTTACCACACGACTTTAGCTTTTAGTTTCTACTCGCCAGTGATTTTTGGAGCTTCGCAAACGAAAAGCCCCAGATCAGAGACGTCTGTTCAAAGACGCCATCCGAGAGGCTCACCGCCGCATCACCCAGCAGGCTAAATAGCCAATGAGAAGGCAAGACACATGTTGGGGAAACCTGGGGGAGGATTGTGTTGTGTCAAATTACACAACACTGCCATTTTCTGCAACATTCATTTCATTTTCAATATTTTCTTATGAACTGTTGTCCATCCACCACATCATTAGAAACTTTTTCTGATGACAAAATGTGAATTTGAACGGAATTTGGAAAAAAGTATTTCATCGGGCTCTAGACTTTCCGTTTCCGAGTTGGGCTGCGATCGGTTTGCTACGACACAGAAGAAAGAATCAAGACACTGAAGAGCCCACTCGGCTCTTGTATCCAACACCTGACCCGGGCCGGGACCTGAGTTTGAACTGTCCCAAAGATCCAGACTGGCCTTTGTTTCATGTTTTATTCTATTTATGCAAGTTGTGTTGGAGTAGGTTTTCCAAGGATCCATATTGGATCAGTTCAAAAATTCTAGACCTGGGAAGACCCTTAGGACACAGTAAAACCTGTTAAAGGTGTATTTATATGTAGTACCGAACATTTGGGCTTCCACTTAACATTTAGGAGTGAATGAATCCTGGCAGTAAACATTAATTAAGCACTTTTTGAGTGCTAGATCCACAGTTTCGTGCTTTAAAGAGCCCAGTCGGCTGTGTGTAGACACGGCCAGACAACCGCATAAACATCGTCGTGTGCTAATCAGCGTGAGAAGGCCATGGAGCAGACACTTGTCGTCCGCTCCACGGGGGCCGTCTGGGAGTGTGGGGGAACGAGAACACAGTGGAGATAATCACGTTACCCGGACCCGGAGTCGGTGATGCTATGTCACCACGGCGACTGTCACCAGGAACGACCGCCAAAACAGCACCGGCGGTGTGTCGCCGGGGGAATCGCCGGGGGAAGAAAGAGCAGAGGGCCGTCACAGAGAGGGTGAGGAGGACTGTGAAGGGATGAAGGTTAAGTGAAACGCTGACACTGATCGGATCAAAAATCGGATTTCAAACGACTTCCAAAGCATACAGTGGGTACGGAAAGTATTCAGACCCCTTTAAATTTTTCACTCTTTGTTTCATTGCAGCCATTTGCTAAAATCAAAAAAGTTTATTTTATTTCTCATTAATGTACACTCAGCACCCCATCTTGATAGAAAAAAACAGAAATGTAGAAATTTTTGCAAATTTATTAAAAAAGAAAAACTGAAATATCACATGGTCATAAGTATTCAGACCCTTTGCTGTGACACTCATATTTAACTCACATGCTGTCCATTTCTTCTGATCCTCCTTGAGATAGTTCTACTCCTTCATTGGAGTCCAGCTGTGTTTAATTAAACTGATTGGACTTGATTAGGAAAGGCACACACCTATCTATATAAGACCTTACAGCTCACAGTGCATGTCAGAGCAAATGAGAATGAAGGAGAAGGAGCTCAGAGACAGAATTGTGGCAAGGCACAGATCTGGCCAAGGTTACAAAAGAATTTCTGCAACACTCAAGGTTCCTAAGAGCACAGTGGCCTCCATAATCCTTAAATGGAAGAAGTTTGGGACGACCAGAACTCTTCCTAGACCTGGCCGTCCAGCCAAACTGAGCAATCGTGGAAG